GGGTTCACCTTTTTAAAATAAAATTGCTGTAAAATTTGAAACAAAGGCTTTTTGAATTGAAAAATCATAACATTTCAAAAATCTTGAAATAAGTGTTTCAGATTCTGATTTTTTTAATGAAACAATTGGACCCTAATCTCAAAAAGTTTCAGTTGACTCAAGTCTGCATTTTTAATTGAAAAAAGTTTCAGCTGAAAAGCTTCACCCTGCTCTATTGCCTGGTCTCCAGCAAACCAGGAGTTAACTGCAGCTTATATTTCCCCACCTCTTGGACAGGTGCTGTGGGAAGGGTGAAGGGAGGATGTCTGAGAGAAGGCAGGACTAGGCGAGATGACAGTGATGAACCCAGGACAGGGAGTTTTACTATTACACTTTTGTGGCAATCTTAACTTGCATTATTGACTTTTAAGTTTTTTCAATGTCATAGGTCCCACTTTGCTCTGATGCCCCAGAATTCAGCATGCTGGGATGTTACAGCCCACAATGAACTGAATATAGTGATAAACTGAAGCATGTGAAATACGAGGATACAGCAACAGTACCAAAAATGGCATCATTGGCAACTATTGCTCCACTATATGAAATTCAGTGCATCAGTTATTAGCTATAAAAATAAAGCTGTTCTAAGTATTAGAACATTGTCAGCTGATCAGTTACTCATTTTGATGATGAACTCCTTGGCTGTCCCCTAGCTGGGGGAAATCATTACTACATTGATAGCGTCATCAGAAAAGCTAGGTTTTTTGATTAACCAATTTTTCAATGAAAAATGCCAAATTTGATGACCAGGGTTGGTTTCAACGAAGTGTCCAACTCCAAAACGTTTTTGGAAAAGAAAACTGACATTTTAAAACCAGAAAGTTTCAGTTTTGAGTCAAAACAACTTTTTTGTTTCAAAGTTTCAGTAAATTTAGTTTAAAAGGTCAAAAAAAACCCAACCGAAAATAAAAAAGGTCACAAATAAAAAACCAAAACATTTCAAAATTATCAGAAATGAAATGTTTCACTTGACCCAAACCAAAATATTTTTTAAATTTTCAGTTTGTGAAAATTCAAGATTTTGACTATTCATCCTTATTTAGGACAGAAAGATTTTCAATATCTCAAATTTTCTTGGACCAGGAAAACTGTTGCCTGCCCACCTCTGTCTATATCATCAAACATTCATGGGTGCTGATTTCCAAGATCCCAATTCACTTGTATGAAGTTGCCAGTCCTTGGAGGTTAATCTTATCCTTTCTGTTTTCCCTGACAGGTATCGCTGTCTGAAGTGCCTGAATTTTGATCTTTGCCAAGTCTGCTTCTTCACTGAGCGTCAGAGCAAACCACACAAGAGGTCACATCCTGTGATGGAGTACTGTGTGAAGGTACCATCCCATTTTACTGACTCATCTGCTTGCTTGGCCTATTGGTGTGGATAGGTAGGCTCTTGGCTATGATGATTAGAAAGAGAGAGAGAGAGAGAGAGAGCGCGCGCGCGCACGTGTGTGTGTGTGAGAGAGATCACCCCCATAAAATATATCTGCACCCGTTGCCAAGCAATGTTAGGTGAGCAAAAGAAGAAAGTGGGGTTTTAAGTTTAGAATTTTCACTCTGCTTTGAGATAAAGACACATTCTAGTCACATGGGACAGTGAGGAGTAAATCCTGCCCCCTCCTGTGTGTGTGGTATGTCAGGTCACCACCCCAAGACATCTGCCATCCCATTTTTGGATCTGTGGAAGGGGCCCTCCATGGCACCAGAGTTGTGTGTGTGCAGACTGGCTGGGGAGGTGGTAGGAAGGAAGGGAGCTTGGCATATGGCTGGAGGAGACATGCATCATTCCCCCTCCCTTCCACCCCACCCTGTGTCCATTCAGGAGCTAATTCAGTGTAAAGCTGTGTGAAATCCTCTGTAAAGCTTCTTCTAGTTGGTTTACCAAGCTTTGTGAGGAGGCCCCAGGGGCAGTGTGCTTGAAAGGAGAATTCCTTTTTTATCATGGCTTCACCTAGCAGTGTGGAGGCACAGACACCAACTGAGATCAACCCTCAGTTACAGGAGGTCCAGGGCCCCCTGGGGGGCCATGAGCAGGTTTCAGGTGGTCCGCCAAGCAGGGCCACTGTTAGACTCACTGGGGCTCAGGGCAGAAAGCTGAAGCCCCACTGCATGGGGCTGAAGCCCGGGTTTCTGAGCCCTGCCACTTGGGGCTGAAGGCGCAGCCTGAGCAATTTAGCTTTGCAGGGGCCCCTGTGGCATGAGGCCCCAGGCAATTGCCCTGCTTGCTATCCCCTAATACAGGCCCAGGCTTTTCTATGCAGAAAACAAGTTGTTGCGGCACAGGTGGGCCATGGAGTTTTTATAGCATGTTGCGGGGGAGGGACTCAGAAAGAAAAAGGTTGAGAACCCCTGCTTTACATTGGCGTGGGGCGTATAGAAAGATAATGTTTACAATGTCAATGCTGTTTTTCTTTACCACAGTGACACCTTGTGGTAGTTTATCATCAGTGTAAGAAATGAGTAGAAGGTACAGTGGTTACATTATTTTTTCCTGTTTCCTCTTTCACAATTCCCCATGTAGATGCACTAGGTGCATAATGAGCATCAACTAGGGAAGAGCAACTAAAGTTAGCCAGCATCCACAAAAGTCTGGAGTAACATTTGCTTTCTTGTGGATGGAGGGGAGAAGATAGCATCACTCAGCTTTATCTGGGATTGTGTTGACTGACTGCTTGCTGCTTCAGAGCAGTGCTTGTTTTAAATCCACTCCTTTCGCGGTTGCATGTCATTCCAGCAGATGTCAGCAAAGGAGAATGCAAAGATCTTTTTTCGCACTGTCAGAAACAACCTGCTTCAAGAGCGCTGCAGAAGAAAGGAGGCTCGGAGAAGGCAGACACTGGAAATGATGGAGGGAGGGGACTTCCCAGAACATGAGCAAGCACCGTGAGTGTCAGTCCCAGTGTATTTATACCACTGGAGCGGTGAATTTGAAGGGACCAGATACTTCCAAGCTGCAGCACATTCATCACCTGCATCTAACAGTGCTAATATAGAAACAATTTTGAACATTATCTACTTGACTGTGCCCATACAGTAAATGACTTTGATTTGACAGATGAAATGTGGTCAGTGATCAGTTCATAAAACTGAAATTAAAATTACAAAATGGAAAGGTTGAAACTGTACAGTAAAATCAGTTTCTTTCCAGGCTTTTTTAAAAATATCAGTCATCTGAATAAGTATTTGCATGATATATTGATACTGTGCCCACAAAGGAGCCATTACAGTCTATGGGGTCGGTGAAATAACCTTTTTCATGCCGTGACTTCATATTATGGCAGAACGTTTTGCAGATTCCTGCTCCTCTCACCCTAGAGAATGTGAAGGTGGTCGCAATGGCTCGCACGCAGAGAACTATCAACAAAGCATTTTGTCAAATCTAACACACTTCCATAAAAGAAATTGTAAAACACTCTATCAGGCTTTGGTCCTGTACAGTAACTGCAGAACTCAGCCTTGCTGACAAGTAGAAAGGAAGGTTGGTCTTGTGGTTATGGCCTTGGGTTGGGATTCAGAAGCTCTGGGTTTAGTTCCCAGCTCTGCTACTGATGTGACACCTTGGGCAAGTCATTTACTTTCTCTGAACCTCAGTTTCCCATCTGAAGGTGGGGACAACGATGCTTCCTTTGTCTATTTAGAATGTAAACGCTTTAGGACAGGTGCCATGTTTTTCTAGGTATTTGTACAGACCTAACACAATAGGGTCCTGATCTCAGGTGGGTTCACTAGGTATTACCATAATACAAACAAGCAAGCAGTTTTGGATGAGTCAGTTATTCTATAACACATATGCTCCTTTAGGGGGTGTCATGGGTGTTGTAGTCCATCAACTCTTTAGGTTGCTTGGCAGCAGAGTAGGTGAACAATGAATTTGAAGGCATGTGACTTCTTACACCAACCTTCTAAAGGGGTTTGAATATTATGGTGCTGGGGCCATACTAGTAACTATCTAAATAAAACAACAAAGATGGAATTAGAATTATGAGCCCCATTCACAAACAAGCACACATTTATTTTGTTTTCTCTTCTTAACGTCAGCTCTTTGTGCCATGTTTTGTCACTCCTAATCTCGGGCCCAGCTTCACAATACTTACTACCAGACAGTGCCTCCCACTGTGGATAACCTCACTGATGTCAATGGGACTGCTCTGTGCCCTTTAGACTCAGGTAACTGACTTAAATCTGTTACCTCCATTCCTGAATGATCCATGGCCCTTTATGTCATCCAGGTGTGAGAAAAGGCTCCTCTTAAGCACCTCAGAGTTCACGGCAATACTCTATGTCTGGGAGTTGTTTTGGCATCTTGTTATGCTTGTCCTTCATTTGATCCATTTTTGCACTTTGTCTATGGAGGACATGAATGAGACTGAAGAGGTCTCTTAACCAGGTGCTGGTCCTTGGCACAAGTTCTGAGTATTTGTCTTGCCTAATTGGTCTGTTCAGTTTGTAGACTTAAATATCTGCCAAACAGAGCTGAAGTAGAATTAAGTGATGGCATTCACCCTTTTGAACAGGGGTGAATTTCATCCTTCCCAACAGGAAAGAAATGGAAAATATATTTACTAAACGTTACAGTGCAAAAACACTGGGTGGCGTTATTGCTATTAGAAACCAATTTTAAATACATTCAGACTAATCAAGAACCACAGCTACAGTATGAATAGTTTGATGGAATATAAACAGTGTCAACAAGCTAATTTGATCACTGAGATGTTACTTGAGTGTTTGTGCCTTAGCATGGAATGTGATTGAATGCAAGTTGCCCATTAATTCTTTCATGACTGATATTTCCTTACTTTCAGTTAGCAACAAAAGCTCCCTTCTTTACATGAACTTTACCGTAATCTTTCTCTGAGTCCACAAGGTCATTTGATAACTTGATGGGTTTTTGCTTGCATCAGGATGTGCCGTCAGTGAGAGCAGAATTTGGAGTTGCTTTTCCAGGTGTCATTAAAAGGCTCATTTGGTACTTCAGCCTAGCACAGATTGGACCGCAGGAATTCTGGCTTTCTAAAACTTTCCTTAATTGAATTGCCTAGTTTAGTTGGCCCTCTACTGCCAGTGGCTAAGAAACAGGGGAAGTTGAAAAGAGAGAGCAGCTGTACTGTTGCTAAATGAAGGGGAACTAGAATTCTGTGCTAGGGACTTTATGGTCTCCATTCAATAAACAAAATGACATCCACTATACGTTGTCCATTTTTCCAGCCAAATATAATGCTAGCTAACAGTGGTCATAACTAACCCATAATTCTTACTCAGGCATGACAGTTATTACTCTGTTGAAAACAAAAGTTTTATTTATGATGATTCTAGATTCCAGGGAAAGGAACCTAAGAGTTCTCCTGTTGAGCTTCTCATTTCATCCTCTCTCTATTTTTGCTTTCTTTCCTGGTGTACAGGCCCTCTATAGAGCTCAGCACCTCCACACAGCCTGCCCATCGTTACCTATCCTCCCCAGCATACAGACTGGCCCCAGCGTTATCCAAGCACTTAGCTGAAAAGGGGTCTCCAGTACAGCAGATTGAGAATGACAACAGGGCACCAGCACAAGACAAGACATCAGCACAGGTGAGCAAAACCAAGATATAGCCACACTGAACAAATCAGGGTGAATATTGAAGCGGTGCAGAGAGACCCTGACCAATTCTCGATCAGCTTTCAGACTGCCTATTAAATACTGATCCTAAGATGTTCCCTTGGTTAACTTCAACCCTGTTAATGTCTCATGTTGGAGGGATGGAAGAGGGCAGGAGAAAGTAGAGGGAAACAAATCAAGAACCTGGAAACTTTGTAGAGTCATCCCTTAAAGAACTTGGCCACATTTCAGTATTAGTGACTGCAGAAGAGTTGACTCACCATTGGCAGGTCCCCTTATGGCGGAGCTGGGGATAGCAGCTCTTTTTTGCTTAACACAGTCAACAGTTTCTCCAGCCCTGCAATGATTTGTCTTGTCTTGCAACTCAGCCCTCCGGCCCCATTACATTTTAGTCCCCCCTCCCCTCTTTGAGTCAGAGAGTCTAACAAATAACGGTCCCAATGTCCTTACAAAAGGTCTTCACACTCCTTCTCTCAGGGCTTCCAATCATCCTTATTCCCCTCTCAGGGGGCTTCATGCCACCTTTCCAGTGGCTGGTAAGGAAACCCAGGTCCTCCCACCCCACTAGGTTCCAGAGCAGGTATCATGTAACAAGCAGCAGTACTCTGCTCTGTGAGACTCCTTGCTGCTACATCTCTGGACCTCTTCCTACTAACTACAACCATTATGTTAGGGCTTCTGCAGTGATCTACTCTCCAGGCCATATTCAGCTCCTCCAACCTCTCCCTGCTTCTTGCGGACTCTGACTCAGGGTCTCCCACAGGATCCACTTGTTCTCTGTAGCCTCTTCAGCTGTATCCCCTCAAACTTCAGTCCAAATGCACCTTAGGCCCTAGCTTCTCTTTGCCTTTAGTTCAGATAAGCTTTCTAACTATCTCTCACTTGGGTCTTCTATCTGCCTTCCTATTGCTCAATGCTCCTTAGTCCTTCCTTTATGAAGGCCCAGCTCCTCCCAGCTGGGTATGATCATCAGTTATGCCTGACACCCAGAGGCTTAATTGGGCTCAGACTCCATTGACTCCTGGTTAACAAGTCTGGGATGTATACACCCAATCATAGTGACTAGGCCCAGATTCATAAAGGGAGTTACATGCCTAAAGCCCAGATTTAGGTACCTACATCCCAGCTTTTAGTCACCACTGCAATTCACAAGACCCCCACTGACCCTGGTAGGCACCTACACTTATTTAGCACTAAAATTTTCAAGAGTAAAATTTCCTTAGGTACCTAAGTTTCTGCCTCTGGGCATGTGCACTGCTGCACCACACTAGGGACCTGAACAGGGAAATATAGACATTACTCTGCTTAACTCACCTGCAGAGTCCTATCCAGTCAGCATACTCAGAGCACACCTTCCAGATTGGGTCCCACAGGCAAGCTCACACAAAATGGCTGGGGTGAGAAGGAGGAGGAGGATCTGCTCCCTCATAACTTGTAGCCTAGTGGTGATGTGGGAACTTCAGGTGTCCCAAGCTCCATGAACCTGGGCTCTAGCCTCCTGCACCTTTACAACAGGGATGTCCCAAGGCAGTGCTTCTTTCCAGCTTATAAAGGCCCTACATAACTTTTAGCTGAGTGGTTAGGGCCATCACCTGGGATGTGGGAGTCCAGGGTCCAGTCCCCCTGCTCCAATTACTTTTTATTTATACACAGTAGAACAGCTGAGATTGAGGGAGCCCCATGTCAGAATTTCCTATTGCCCAATGATTAGGGTGCTCACCTGGAAGGTAGCAGATTCCCAGTCAAGTCCCTTCTCTTCATCAGGTGGAGGGGCCAGTTGAACTAGAGGTCTCTGACATCCCAGCTGAGTACCCTGCTCTCCCCAGCAATTCGCAAAAACAACTTTGGGCCCCTAACTCCAGAAAAGGGTTCACAGCTGAGAATCACTAGCAGAGATAGGTGCTAGCACATACCCCCCTGGTCAGCATCTCCCATTGGCTAGCTTAGGCAGCTCCCCACTTAGTTGCTGGCTTTGTGAATCACAGTCTAGCTCCGGTCACTGCGTAGGGAGCCTAGCCCCCAACTCACGATCTGTGGATCACAGTGTTGTTCCTGTGATTTCTTATGCGCCTAAAAGTAAGGCATTGTAACACTGAGCACCACAGCTCCTATGTCCCTTTGTGAATCCAGACCTCACTGCCTGACTGTGGCAGCGCACTCAGTTATTTGCACTGCAGGGTTATTTGTTCTGTTGTTATTTTTTATTTGCATTACAGTAGCACATTAGAGGCCCGAGCTGAGCTTGTGATCAAAATATCGTCACCCCTCCCTTCTGAAAGCAATAGTTCAAGGAAAGACATCACAGGCCTGATTCTCAGTTAGGCTCGGGCCATTCTCTGCCATTGTGACAGCATAAAGGCAGCAGAAATGGTCCCCCTGAAGATATGCCCGGAGTAGTGATTCTCTCCAGCCAATGTAAAATTGGCATAAAGGCTCTAAACGAACCCTGCTCCCTGCCCCTGCCCAGCACCCATGTTAGGGGCATGCAGGGAGTGAGTGGAAGGTGTAGGTGAATGCACTACACAACAGTATTTCTTTATTTTCCAGGGGCCATGGGAAGCAGAGTGTAAGTTAGGCAGCCCCTGCATAGCCCTAAATTATGGGGAGCACAAAAGGTATCTCAAGGCCAATTTTGCCTTCCCCCGCTTCAGAATGGAGTAACTGAGAATCAGTCCCCCTATATCAGCTCATCCATTTTGGCATCACATCTGTGCTCTACCTCTAAAGACCTCTCTTCAGGAGCTGTACTTCCATGGAGAACATGAGACAGTGTCAGCCAGCATGTATCAGCTGTGAGCATCTGCAGCTGTTCAAGTCAAGAGCACTTCACCTCATTGCCAGGCATGCACTCATTTCAGAAGAGAGGTAGATAGGACTGCCACCTTTGGGTTATATATGGAGATATACCTATCTCATAGAACTGGAAATGGACCCTGAAAGGTCATTGAGTCCAGCCCCCTGCCTTCACTAGTAGGACCAAGTACTGATTTTGCCCCAGATCCCTAAGTGGCCCCCTCAAAGATTGAACTCACAACCCTGGGTTTAGGAGGCCAATGCTCAAACCACTGAACTATCCCCCCCCAGTTCCTGCACTGTGTTCATTTTCCATCTGGTGAGGTAACCTGGGGTTTTGCATGCTGGCTGTTGACTTGTTTAGTTTCTCCATGGGCTGAGAATTCTTTCTGAGGAGCTTTATCCTCCTTTCGTGTTCTACACGGATATCATGCAGGTTTTTCAGTGTTGCTTTGAAAGACACAGATTGAAAGTCCCAGAGTCCTGTTTTGTCAGAAAGTAGATATAGGATGTACCAGAACTTGTACCAGACATGTTCTAAATTAAGATGCTCAGGAGTTCCTGAGGATCTGCTTCCAGGCACAGTGGGAAAGTATGACCCACAGAGAAATATCCAGAGTGTTAGAAATGTGCTAATACCTCAAGTTAATGGCAGTCAATTAACTCAAGGCAAAAACTATAATGTAGACATATCCTAAATAAGACGGTTACTCACCGTTGTAACTGTTGTTCTTCAAGATGTGTTGCTCATATCGATTCCAATTAGGTGTGCGCGCGCCGCGTGCACGATCG